TTCTTTTCACTCATTTAATATTTTATTAATAAATTTATTATTTTTTCTCCTACATTTATTAGGAAATTAATTAATTTACTACACTCCCGCAATGATTACAAGTTATTTTTTTACTACATATAAAAGAAATTCATCTTTAATATTTCAAATGTATGAGTTTTTTCTTTCACGTATTATGTTAATATTTATTACTTGTTTCTTTCATCTATAATGAAAATATTTATTTGCTACATCCCGCAATGATGGATCACAAGTTTCCGAGAAGTAGGTGTTATCCGTGATAACCCTTGGCAGATCATCCATGAATCCAATTTACTGCCAAGCGAGATATAGAACGCTGTCACCTGTGGTATGCGCAAACCATCAGAATAAATATTGACTGAATAGCTTAGACATTAGTGTAACTTCCCCTGACTGGTAATTGCAATCAGAGAGTATGCTAGGTACATCCTTTAGCTGGGTGCCGACCCCAGGGTAAGTATTCTTCATATGACAGTGTAGGCCATTATACTCTTTACACACCAGCACCATCAGGGGGCACACAGTCCTCTGTAACACTGTTACCATTAGGTTGCACATAGCATAACAGGGTAACTAGATATACCATCCATAGACAGTGTGTCCTGGAGTGTATTCCATATTGTTCAATACTGAAACTGAATGTAATGTCACCAATGAAAAAGTCTAAGCCTAGACTGCATTTTGTTTGTTTGCTGAACACCTCACCACTTTTCCAGCTATAGTTTGCTTGTTTGTTTGTTGTTTAACACCACACTTAGCAATATTCCAGCTATATGACAGAGTTCTGTAAATAATCGAGACTGGACCAGACAATCCAGTGATCAACATCATGAGCATTGATCCATGCATTGGGATACGATGACATGCATCAACCAAGTCAGCGAGCCTGACCACCCGATCCCATTAGTCGCCTTTGCATGGGTTGCTGAAGGCCTATTCTTCCCCGCATCTTCACAAGTATATTCCATGATACCAAACCTAGATTGTACAAAAAGCTGCCTTTTCACTAATATTTCGAATCGGTATGCATGGAATTTATAATACAAAATTAAATATTTGAAAATCTTTGATATTTCAGTGATGGCAAGATTTTTAATCAATAAGACCAGGAATGTATAAATGACTTGAAATGAATCCATTCAGAAGATGTTTCGATAAAGCCGAAGATTTCAATGATTACGGAGCATCTGATCTCAAACTTGTCTTCAACACAAACTTCAAAGAAAAATTAATCCCTACAAGTATGACGAACAAGGGGTGACAGTTGAAAGGATCACCTGGCTGTAAAACCTCAGGTAACTCAGGCGGGCATCGTTATCCCCCCCAATTACCTGACAAAGGGAACGCCAATGACAAGGTGTTTATTTCACCTGTCTGTCTCATCCAGGTAAGCCCGGACTTTAACACAGGCATTTATTGTCCGGCTGCTGGCTGGACAGCGAGAGGACAGGTGACGAGTGGTCGTTAGCTACCCAACACTTACCTGTCCATTATGATTATTTATTGTGTCTTCCTAAGAGTGTGCTGATTGTCACATATCATAATGAAGTCGGAACTACTCAACATGTGTCAGCAAGGACATGCTCTCACGATAAACAGAAGCATGTGTGAGTGAGTTGGACTTAACGCTGCTTTTAACAGTATTCCAGTTTCCTCACAGCATGTCAGCTTAATGTGGGAGGAAAGCCCGAAGTGATGCAGGTCTCAGATGTTTACCACTTCGGTGAAACCCACGAGCACGGGTATGGTGCTGACAAACCTAGAAACATAATCGTGGCGAACCGGGATTCGAACCCACAATCATAGGTTTCTGGCATGCCCAAGGGACGCAACTCTGCACAGCGTATCGTGGCGCCTTAGATGACTGGGCCACCCGTGCCCCCAGAAGCATGTGACTACAACTATATTTTCATACACGTTCTGTACATGGATATCCCCACTAAACTAAATACCAACACATATTCTCAACAGAAAGGTTAGGGATCATGAATAAGTTTAGGGATTTTTTTGTAGTGAATACTGAGTACACAATTTCATAAAAATATTCCAAAAATTATTCATGATCCCTCACTTTTTTTTAAGTATATAAATATATGCTGTCATATCAAATATTCATAATGTACATAATGAATATATCTTACATCCAACAAATCAAATAAGTTCTAAAAGCAATATTAATGAAGCATACATCATTATATTTTCCGGCAACTGCCTTTTAATTCATTTTCATAATAGCCTTTTCCTCATGGAATCTAAACAAACTCAAGTTAACTTTGTAAGGATTGAACAAAATAATTGATTTTCATTTTAGGAAGTGTAAAGGAACGTTGCCTTTGTTCACAAGGAGAATATCATGTAAAATCAATCTCCAAATTATATTACTTTTTGTTTCATTTATTTTTTTTAAAACGAAAGGTACTCCTGTGCATTCCGTTAACACCCAGCTTAACACATCTTCTGCTTCAAAGAGCATCTCCTCATCTCGCATGTTAATTTCCAGGTTGTTGGGAAATAAATTTAAATTTTGTTGACATATCATATTGTGTGGTGGTGGAGGGGAATCTTGGGTGGATTTAGTCAACGCTACAATCATGAATAAGAGATGAGCGCCATCCTGGAGTGGTGCCATTATCATTTGCCTCAAAAGAACACTCACATCCGTCTGTAAATGTTTAAACACCATCTTCTTTATTTGAACTTCTTCAGGAAAAAACACAGGCAGTTTGATAATAAACTGGACTCAGGTCTTGTAATTGTTACATTTCCTTAATTCCAAATACGCAAGCCTCTTTAATAAATATTTCATGAACCCCACCAGCTAAAGAACCATTTTACATCTCTGGAGGCGATGGTCCAACATTGCAGATCTCTCGTGATTTATGCAATGAAGACCACTAGTGTCTGTAAATCATGATGAAGAATGACAATATTCACATAAACGAAGAACAAATTTCTTTACAGGGACCATATTCTTCGATGGAATTATGGAATAAATGTCAGAAAGAAACAAACGAGCCAGCATCTCATAATTGCTAAGTGACGTGAATGAGGCGTTGTTCACTGACGCTTTTGTTTGAAAATCAATCTCACAAACTGGTGCTCGGTTTAGGAAATAAGACATTTTGTCACTAAGAACGCTTCTGCTCATAGCACCATACAACAAGCAAAAAGTGCTGACACTGAAATATAAAATGCAACTTTCTTGTTACAAAGCCATTAATATTGAAAACGGTTATTTCTTGGGTGTTCAGCCAAAGATTACTTCAACTGTTCGTTCGTATCAGACACAGAATCACAAATCTGTGATTGCATCTATCAAATTTGTAACGTTACCAACTAAAAGAATGCCGCTTCAATGACATCATTCCCGAGCAGATCCCCAGCTCCCATTAAAGTAAATTGGTCACTTCCCTGATCAAACCAACAGGAACAATAAAGTTACACTCAGGCTGGGAAACAAGTAATCATGCTGATAATCAATTATTTATTTCAAATCAAACTTTTTTCCATCTGTTTCATTAATAAGCTATTTCCATCTGTTATGGCGAACTCTCAATCCTCGTATTAAGGGGGTTGGGGCAGTGTCCATCTTCCTGAGGCAAGGGAGTTAACTGGCTGTAAAAGTCCAGTTTCCACCCTTGCCAAATTACGCTGGAATTTCTGGGCTCTATCGTAGCGCAACCAGTGGCTATTACAAGTTATGTCCCTTCTGTCCCTCCTATTGACCAATCAGATTCCATCTGTCATATCCCTCACTTCAAACAAAATGGCGGCATCCAGTTAAGATGATAATCAAGATCTATATTGTAATTACATCGCCAAGTGCATCAAATCACATGAGCACCTTGATTATAAGCATGAATAGATTGGAAAATATCTGATGACGCCAAGTTTGTGGTTCACATGCTTTACAAATCCTGCAATCGACCGAAATCTGCACGCCAGTTTATGAAATGGATGTCAAATTTGTTATGCGCTTTTGATTGGACTATGCTTAAGACAAGCTAAAATATAGCTCCATACTTCCAGCCGAGTTCAGCAAGGGTGGAAACTGGACTTTTACAGTAAGTTAACTCCCCGTGCTTCGGGAAGATGAGTAGTGTCATGGTGCGACTCCCACATGATACATGTTGATTCCTGTCATCCGGGATGTGCTATGCGATTGCTGATGAAGCTCCTACATTCACTTACTCACTCACTCTGCCGTAACAGTGAGTCGGCAATGAGTGAGTTTCGGCTAACGGTGCCTTGAACAGTATGTCAATCATATCATGTTTTAGGTTGATAAAGGAAAAAGGCCTGAAGTGATGCAGGTTTTATTGGTTTGTTGTTCACTGCTGCAACTCCGCAATATTCCAGCTATATGACTATGAAAATCGGACCAGACAATCCTGAGATTGATATTATGAGCATCTTCCCACCAAGTCGGGGTACAATGACATGCAATCAACAAAGTGACTGAGTCTGACCACTCGATGATAGCTGAGTTATCTCCCCTTGATGGGACACAATCTGACAGCTGAGTTATCTCCCCTTGATGGGCACAATCTGACAGCTGAGTTATCTCCCCTTGGTGGGACACAATCTGCCACTGGAATTATCAAAGTTTTATTTATCACTATATTCTGGAAACTACAAATATGGCGCCTCTTAAAAAAAATCTATATTTCACATTACGTCTGCTTGTATGGGTCAGGGAATGTTTTATCAGTGTTTCATCCTGACAGCTTGTCTATAGTGTGTAACAGAAGATGTGGAGGGGGCATTAACTGTTGAACGAGATGAAGTCAGGAACATGCTTACACACAAGGCCCACAAGGGTCCACTTGTACAAAGTGTTACGAGTATTGTCTGCCAAGAATGAGTTATAATAGTCACAGTACACCTACGCTCTGGACTATCAGCGTCCACAAAGCAGTCTTAGCGCTATGGCCATTGTGTGCCGAAGGACAACAATTATAGCAGTGGAAGGTACTTACACACAAGTACCAGTTCGGACGTGAAGGTCTGGGCGGGCTCCTTGTCACTGAGGCCTTCACAGCGGTAGCTGCCTTCATCTGCTGCCCGCACTTTAGGAAAATACAGAGACCCATTGTTGTAAACCTTGTGCCTGAAAGAAAGAAACATCTTAATGAATAAGCTGAACAGTTTTCACAATCCACTACCTGAAGTATCCAGCACTTCCTTTTTTATGCAGTTATGCCACATACTTATGGTTTGCCATATACCATATATATGCATTCCTATAACATAGGGTAACAAAAAAGAAAAAATGCTTTGAAATAAATGATGTCTTAGTGGTTTTCTTTTCAAAGACACATTTTTATTTTAAATTTTCTTGATCAAGCCTTGATAGACATTTGGAAGAACATGAAGACAATTTTTATGGATAACAACTTCTTTGTTGTTGTAACGACGTTTAATGGCTACTTCTTGCCCCCTCATCAGGTGAGTGCTGAGTCAACATATTGAATATTACTCAGTAATGTCAAGAAGTGGCCCTGAAACGTTACAAACAATAACGTTGTTATCCATAAAAATTCCATGTCTTCACTTGATCAATTATATCAAATTAATGTGCTTGTAATTGTCTGAAGATATGTGATCTCAGCACAAGTCTTTTGTTGCTGCATTGATCCTGACTAATTACAGTAAATCCAAGCTACTATGTTTCCATGATATGAAGGCATTACAATCAACACATAAAAACTGATACACATTGAAAAGAGGTGACAGAGAAATGTGTATCAATATACATTTAATACTTAATGATTTAGTGTCTCGTTGAGGCTGTCAGAAGTTATTAGACACAATGACATATCAAATAATGGATATTTATTGCCAATACCTTGATGTGTTAGACAGCTTTTCATAGTTGGAGAACCAATCAATGCGGCTTGCCCCACGGAATGCGCAGTCCAGGCGGGCGGGGCTGTTCTTCAGGACCAGTTTATACGCCGTGAATCGATTCTCCAATAAATGCGGGGTATTGGGAGCTGTCGATAAGACAAAAAATGTAATTAATCATTGTAAAATTTACTGCAAAATTAAAGAATATTGATCAGGGAAATGAAGTTTCCCCTTTAGATCCAGTGTTTATGCAAGGAGGCGCCTGGCAAGGAGATTCTAGGCAGGAGGGTGAACATGTCAGGAAAACGCCCCTTAATAACTGTTGAATGAGTTTATGCTAATCTGGGTAAAATTAAAGATGTGTGGGATAACATGGGCCATTATATACGTGAGAGGACTGGAGTGAGGCAGATGGGCTCGTAGACTTGCATTCACTGCATGGACTTCAACCCAAACGAGATCAGGTCTATTTCCACAGTTTTATGAACCATTCGTAGGGAAAAGGCATAAAATGACAAAAAAGAGCTGAAAGTTTACTTTGTAACGAGCAAGCATGGTTCATGCCGAGAATGTTAAGTGGTTGTGTATTGCAAGAGGGAATACGTGATTTATCACACAGGCAGTGCTAACAGACCAGCCTCCTAAGGGCACCTGTAAAGTGGCCGCATGCATCTAAATATCACAAATACAGTTATAAACCTCTCCCTCGAGTAAACCTTATGACATGTGTCAGGTGATTGCTCGCAGCAAGAACACCATTACAACCAAGCCTACTTTGATTCAAGCCTATTTATCCACATCTACAAGTTCACCATTGTAAGATATACCCTAAGGTAACAAATCAAAATGACAAATTTCAAATTACTGCATCAGCGACCGCATTCTGGCCATTCATGCAAAATTTGATTCTTGATCAATAAAGGAGGACACAGGATCATAACCATGAATAAAAAGATCAACGATGCTATATTACCATAATTTGATTTTTCATGATAAAAAATATATTGAATGATTCTCCTGTTCCAAATGACAAGCGGCCCACTCAGTTCAATTAATCATCCCCCTGTTTCCTGATTGAGCTGTACCTTCAATATTCCATATCAATGCATGCAATTTAAACCTCACTAAATTTCCTCAAGAAAGAAAATGAAGAATTTTTCCGAAAACTGGCGTCTATTTTGCCGCCTTGTTAACCCCCTACATGGGGTCTCTCCGCGTCGCTACACAGACCCCTTCTATCAATCATATTTGGAAATTGCTCAAGACCAATGTAAAATGGCAACAGAAAAAATGTGTACAACTTGTTGCCCTAATTTATGAACATGGACGTCAGGTTAGCAACAATTAGCCATCAATCTGTGTTAGCAATGCCTTTATTTCCCATCTGACCAACCAGGCTCATGCAAAGATGCAGTAATTAGAAAAGTTGAAAAAAAATCCCATTCCTTTTGAAATGGTTCTTGTGACTAATGGCGAGCGTGAAGGAAAACATGTTCCAATGAGTCTGCTCGTCCTGTCCGTTTGGACAGATTAATATCTTAATGACACATTCTCCATTGTTTGTTTACATCATTAGTCAATTTGATATGCTTCATGTTTCTGAAAATTGATTTCATATCTCAAAAGAAGAATTTTCATGGTTCAAAAAATAAATTTCACTGAAATTAAAGTTACATGGCGTTACCAGCATGGTCTGGTGAACTCGAAAGATGAGAAAATTGACATCTTGTTCACCAGTAGTAATCACATTTTTAACATTTGTAGAAAGTTTCAAGTGATTAGTCCCCATAATGACTGGCATATTTTGAAGGCCCTTATGAAGTGAATAACATCCTGATTGTAACCATCAATCTGCATATCAAGCATATGATCCTTAGCATTCATGATCATAATCTCCTCTCAATCAACTGAACTGCTTTATGATGTGCCTTTAAACTTCCAATCATGGTCTTGTGACCATGACAATAATTTGTCTATTTTTTACATTTTCCTCTGAAAAGTAAGTGCTAGTGACCCCAACAGCAGTAAGTCAACTAGCCACATGTCCTTATCAGTGCTTTCAATTGAAAACCTAATGTTTTCAAATTTGGCTAATTAAGCATGCCACGGGTCTACAAGATGGCCAGTAGGGGAATGGAATGTAAACATTGTTGTTGGTATGACCTAGAAGCTTGGTATTGGCAACAGATGGGAGGATGGCTCCTTTACTGGTGGCACTAGGCTCCGTTGGCACTGCTTGCAATGGCTTAACTAAGTGCACTTGGCATAGAAAATTGCAGTTAGAGTTGCAGACTGAGCATATAGATCGTATTGGTGCAACCAGCTAGATTGAGCCTAGGAGACTGCAATGGTGCAACCAGCTAGATTGAGCTTAGGAGACTGCAATGGTGCAACCAGCTAGATTGAGCTTAGGAGACTGCAATGGTGCAACCAGCTAGATTGAGCCTAGGAGACTGCAATGGTGCAACCAGCTAGATTGAGCTTAGGAGACTACAATGGTGCAACCAGCTAGATTGAGCTTAGGAGACTGCAATGGTGCAACCAGCTAGATTGAGCTTAGGAGACTGCAATGGTGCAACCAGCTAGATTGAGCTTAGGAGACTGCAATGGTGCAACCAGCTAGATTGAGCTTAGGAGACTGCAATGGTGCAACCAGCTAGATTGAGCTTAGGAGACTGCAATAGTGCATCCAGCTAGATTGTGCTTAGGAAACTGCAATGGTGCAACCAGTTACACTGATCATAGAAGACTGCAATGTTGCAACCATTTACACTGATCATAGAAGACTGCAATGGTGTACCAGTTACATTGTAAATTGAAAATATTAGTACAACCAGTTTCATAGGCACAGAAGACAGCAATGGTGGCATCAGATGTTATTAATATTTAACTCTGCATTGGTGACAAAGGAACCCAACAGCTCCGACTGGTGGCATCAGTGATGGGGAGGCAGACACCTGGTGGCGAGCACACACTCGGAGGACGCAGATTACCTTCATTTGGGCAACAGATCTATACCGAGAAACTCGGCACAAATTCCCCATGCTGAGATAACACTGACAGTCTGAATTTTTGGTTTGGTCAGTACCAGTGGGGTGAGTTGGTGTGAAATGAAGCTGATCCTGATGTAGATGAGACTGATAGAGGCCAACAACTCAATTAACACAGCTTTGATGTTGGGGACCTGCACTGGCCACTGCTGGAGGTATGTCTCTGCACAGACAGCAGGACCCAAGCTGATCACCCACTTGATTGCTTTCACTTCCATATTGCACATATCTCTGGTACACATCTATCTAGGGAATAACAACACGTATACAATAGATGTGCCCAGTCAAACTGATATACACCATTAGGTACCATAGGTAACCTAGGTGGGTGAGTTGGATTTTATGCTACAGTATTTCAAACCCATGCATGAGTACCCCCTTGTGAAATGCATAGCTATGGTGCTGACAGTCCAAATCATGATCACTATGAATCTGGGATTCAAACCCACAATCAGAAGGATACATCATGACTAATCATTGACCCTTAGACCACCTGGCCACCCTATGTAACTTTGAACTAGCAATGAATGACAAATGATAACTACTGGTATATACATGTATACACATTAGTGGAAATATATATGCATATTGTCCCCTGCAAGAATATTTAGGGATTACCGGTACGGAAAAACCTATCTAATATAAATTATCAGTTAGTATCTCCTCACAAAAATTACCCTTTTTTCAAGAAAGTACAAGAAATTTTCAAGAAAATATTTCGGTAAAAAGGTTTCATTGAATTAATATTCTGTTCAGTTCCTGACCTGGTGCTCCACTGGTTACTGGACAGTTAGGTTCAACCAATCAGACAATAACAAACATGTGATTGATGGAAATCAATGAGGGGCAAACCTAAAGAGGACAAATGATCCTGATTGTATCTGTTCATGTGATTAGATTCCCCGTGATCACTGACCACTGCCTGACTATTTCCCTGAACGTGTAACACATCCGTGCAATCAAGAGGAGCTATGGGTCCGCATTCATGACAAGATCCAGCAGAGCCAGGAGTCCCTGTGGACAGCTGACTGGGGGAGAAGGAGCGGACCTGCACACCGAGACTAGACTGTTTTATACTGTTGGAGAACATAACTACATTGTATAACATACCACTCCCGTAAGCAGACTCTAAGCTGTATCTTTTCAAACAATAACGATATTGTAATTGGAAAACAGCTGACTTTGGATAGTTATCATGATATTGACAATTATCTTCATCATAATTATCATCACCATAACCATTATCACAACTGTCATCACCATCATCATCATCATCATCACAACTGTCATTGCCATCACAACAACCGTCATCATCAGCGTCACAACCATCATCATCATAATAATAATCATCTTTTTCATCCAACTCATCATCCCAATTTGTATCATCATCATTATCATGAGCATCCTTGTTAACCAATGTTAACTAAAATCATATAACTCTGCTTCTGAGAGGAAATGAGTTTAAAGACTACATGTTTTGGGGTTGTCCCATTGCCTTGACGTCTTGGCTGGGGAAGGAAGGCAACTACTCACAACCGTATCATATCCTCTGAAACTATATGCTTTATACAAACTCTCACTTCTTTGGTCACTGTTTCGATCATTACACACTGTAAGCTATTGTTGCAATAATAGATTTGAAAAACAGAAACCTATTAAATCAAAATAATAATAAAGTAAAGTCAATAATATGTTTGTTTTTATCACAGTTTACATGTCAAATGAGAAAATGATCCCTTCTAAATCAACTATTTATCACCGTCAATAAATACCCCCAGCCTGTGCTACGGCAGTAGTTAGGTGAGTTACAATATCGTCTGTGAACATGTACAGCACACTCTCACACTGTAAACACTTCTTGACCGCAATCAACCTCCTTCAATCACAGTAACAATGCTTGACGATGACCGCCTCACGATGACCGGCACTACAGTCGCTACATAGACATAACAACACAACAATGTTGCAGGTCACTGTGCGGTCAGACATCAATATCATTATCTCTCACCCTTCTATGCTCCACGTTCTGATAGATCGCCAGAATTCCAGACTCGGACAAAATGTGGACCTCGATTCCGAGGGAGAGGTTAATTACTAAAACCACCAAGTGTACTTCAAAGCTTGATCCATACCTCGGGTAATAAGCTCCCCACTAATTGATCCTTGATTAAAATATGTGCTGACCAAAATTCCATGTGTACCAGTAATGTGGACTTCTGAAGAATATACGTAACTTGAGGATGTTGTCTTGATTAAAGGAAACATACTATTCACTACTCCAGACTAGAATCACCTAATTCTACCTAATCAATGCGAGCTGCAAGTACATCAGTGTGAACCTAATCACTTAACTCTTTGTCACGCATGTTATGTACATCCGCGGTAGAAACTAACACCGTTTGGTCACTAGTCCTAATGATGATCTATGTAGGAACAGCTACTACAGTTTAGTAATTCCACCATCCTCATGATCCCTTCAACACGCTGGTTGGTTGGTTGGTTGGTTGGTTTGTTGTTTAACGCCACACTCAGCAATATTCCAGCTATATGACGGCGGTCTGTGTAAATAATAGAGTCTGGACCAGACAATCCAGTGATTGATATCATGAGCATCGATCCACGCAATTGGGATCGATGACATGCATCAACCAAGTCAGCAAGCCTGACCACCCAATCCCATTAGTTGCCTTTTACAACAAGCATAGTCGCCTTTTACGGCAAGCATGGGTTGCTGAAGACCTATTCTTCCCCGGAATCTTCACGGGTCCCCTTCCTCACGGAGAAGGTTGGTTCAGACACGTGCAAGTTTCTAAGGCTGGGCATGATTATGTAAAAAGATGGTCGATATTTCAAGAGAAAAAACAAATCAACTTTCATATGAATAAATCCCACAAATGTTGCAATGGGTGTAACATATCTGCAACTAATGATGCAGAACGGTGAAAGATTTGTTTCTTATTATCATAATTTCGGCCAAATGTGGGACTTAATTGTGGTGATCCTGAATAATCGGATAATTTGACACTAATAAAGTGGAGGATTGAGGTAAGTCTTTGCACCGACTACACTGTACATATAAATCTACATTCAATGTGGAAATGATCTGAAACGTGTGTTGAGACTCCAACACGGGCAGGTACTGTAGTCAATGTCAGAATCACATGGATTTCAACTAACTAATCACCTTGACAACGACTGAAGGTTATTCTTGTGATAGTTGAAATACCTTCTTATAACAAACAAACCATTTATCTGGACACTAGCTTATATATACATCTCTTTCACACCATGAACGACAGTCCTATCTCACAATCTCCTTGAAGAGTACATGCGAATCTTCTCCAATTACGTTATTGAATCAATCGCCTCCAACTGTAGCAGTAGAGTTTTGGTCATGATTATCTGAAGGCTTTTTATTTATTTGTTAAACAATATTTTTTCTCCGCACGACAAGTTAATGTAAAATATTACCTACTAAACAATGAATACTTCACACTAGCAGTTCTATGCAAGAAAAGTTCTTTTCTTCCTAACACAACTCTGCACCATGTGCAAAAACATAAGCCAGAAAGAATCTTATCATGAGAATCACAAAAATGTTTAGAAATCTCAAACTACAGTGCCTGGTGTTGTGTTCAGTTATCTACAGTGACTCAAGATTCCGACTTGTAATCACTTGTCATCTAAACCCACAACCTTCCCTCTTAAACATGTCCCAGTACGTTCACCCATCTACACTGTCACATGCACAACTTCTGAATTCAAACCATGGACCGGCTTTACCCTATTGATTTCATGCAGGGCGACTTTGTTTACAAAGTCCAATTGTTTAGGAGACAATGTCATACCTCTGCAGAATTTATGTTCTTGAAATGAATGCCTTAAATGCACAACAATAAAAACGGACCTAATGGAAATTTGGCATGTGTTAAGGCCTTTAAAAAAAATCCAAACACTTCTTTGCCTATTTCATATTAAATATATAAGGAAAAAATATATTTCATGCTTTTCCTCCAGCAAAACTTCATTTTGTTTATTCACACGTCCAGGTAGCTGATTTTATATATTTTATGTGCCATGTGGTTTTCAGAATCATTTTTTTAAAAACATTCAGTTTTTTGTTTGATGCCTTGTGTGGTCAGGAATGCTAACAAAAAGTTTCAGCTCAATGCATCAAGCAGTTCAAGAAAAGAAGTTGAAATCAAAAAGATTTCATACAATGATGTCTACGGACAACAGACGACCCATTACAGCAAAAGTACATGTAGAACTGAGGATCAATTGTTTGCATTTTTTTCGTTCCCTTTAGAAGATGAGCTGTTAGTGTTTATGCTTTTGCCAGACAGACTGTGCTTATAATGTAACCAGAATAATTTTCTCAACATCATCTAATCGTAACCATTTTAATCGAGATCGATACATCATTGGTGGCAATAATACCAAGCAACCTGCCAAACTAACTGCTGATAAAATTCAAAGCTTTCATTTGTCCGAGTAAGAATGTGCTTCTATCATCTTAAGACATGAACATTTCATAGCGAAAAAAATTAAGAAAAAATTGACATTAAAATTTCAACAATGCTTTTAGACACCGAAGGACAGAAGTTGTCCCTAGGGAGCAGAACGTCCAACACGTTAGTACCTTCTGTAAGGACAGACATAAAACAACACGGTGCTAACTGACAAAGGAAAGTTCCCCGAATCTTTGAAGCAGAAGACGATCTGGAGTGCAATATTGTGGAGATGGATGATAACAGGGAACATCAAGGCAGGCTGTTCAAATAAAACATTTGTAAACGGTTGTCTTCACTGACCTGCTGACAGAATTAATATTTCTTGCCCCAAATGAATGTAATTCAAGCAGTTTCATATCAGATATCAGTGGCCATCTTCTCTCACCCCCTCTCTATGTGGACAGGATAACAAAATCAGTATCAGTCTTTGTCACAAGGAACTCTTCTCCAGATAACTTACATATACATTGAGGGAAATACCACGTATGATGGGATTGTTCGTACATTAATCTAAACAGCTCACACATATCTTAATGTTGAACTATCTTGTTCACATTGTCAACCATTGATGACTAAAAGATGACTGACACAAATTAATCACCACGATGATAACATTTTCATGACACTCAAACGCCAAACTGACAAACTTTTCACATAAACCACATTTGTCGTTTGACATAATTAACTGACTCCAAAACCTTGATCACAAATCAAAACCAATGGGTCAATATAATGTCGTAAAGCAGAATTGTAATTTGAAAAATTTGATGACAGTTATCAATATGAACATTCGCTCTGAGCTCACTCATGCAAATGAAGGCACTGGGTTGCTCAAGTGAAGGTATCTGATTTTGAAAGGGAGAAATATGCAATGCACATTGTTGACAATGAGCAGACCATGCTTGTCTGAGATATCCAGCCTCCCCGACAGCCATTTATCTTATCACTGCAGAGTCTAACACCACAGGTGCTGACAAGACAGGAAACAACAAGGCGTAAAATCAGCTGATCAGGATCAGAGCAGACGGCCACTGGTAGCCATTACAGCAGCCAGGTATCGGTACATTGGAACCATCCATTAGAGGTGGACTGAACACACCATAGATAGAACTGTACAGAGCAGACGGCCAGATAGGACAGGGAGGAGGCAGACGGTCATGGATATGTCTGTTATGCAGCAGACGGACGTAATGTCTACTTTATCTGCCCAATGTTGATCTTCTGGTGTTGTGAATGGTGTAAGATGAGTAGATGGGAACTGACGGAGACATACCTATGATTGCCTAATAGTCTTTGATTGAGCAATTGGATAAGATGTAGAAATGCTCAGCTGAGAAGCGGATGTACCACAAGAGGAGCCCTAATGGTAGACACATCTTAGAAGCATAACTGCTTTTAAAAAATGTCAAATAAAATTAAGGACAATCTCAAACACCCCCTATCTCTTCTTGTCCCACCCCCACCCCTATAATTAATGACCAGGGTGCCATATTACAAAACAACCTTAGCGCTATGAGAATAGTAATTAATACATGTGTAGGTAGAACACACTTCCGATTTCCTCAAACACTGTTTACAGTTATAATCATATTTATGACACCAACGGGCTTGATTTCACTAGATCAGGTATACATATCGGTCAGGATCCACAATTACTGTTAGTTCCCACAGCTGCAGCATTATTTCTTATGAAGCTAAAGACTGAATTCTTGAGGGTTGATTTCCTAACATTCCCATATACTGGTAATCCAGTTCCGTCAAAAGAATGACAGCTATCCAGGATTCTGCAATCAGACACCTGATGAGGTTACGATCAAACCAAATCATGCAGTCTGTCCTACCACGAATGTTATTCCATACCATTTCTACACCGGACAAGGGATTTCATGTCGAAAAATTTCTTTTACATCATTCTCAAAGTGACAATGTTGAATCAACATGCTCACCATGTGTGAGTACTATGCTAGCAATGACTTTAAACATAACGGCCAGGTCCATCCCATAGCTCATCGCTTTTATGTCACTTCTATCATTTGAACATGCCAGTCGAGACATGCGTTTCTGCTCTACATCCAATTCCAGGGAATTGGGCGGACATTCCCCACATGACTGGCCACAGACACACAAACAGTTGAAGGCGAACTCTTGCACAAGGAGCACGCTTATGTTTACCAATTACATAAAAAATGGCTTGTATATCATTAGAAAAGTGAAGCCATAAACAAGTGTAGGCATAGATATGTCTGTCTTGGAACAAACTATGCTGTGCTAGGCCTCTATGCATGTTATTGTTCCACTTCTTTAAGATTATCAAAATACAATATCACGTGGCATTCATTCATGAGATTTCAATATCCATCAAACTTAACATAATACATGTTTTACTCTACTAAGTACTCCTAAACAGAAATAACTCATCGCCAGCCCATCAATTTCCCGACACAGAAATATTGAATGGTTATTTTAAATGTTTATATAATTTTTTCTTACCTTGAACATTGAGTAGGAAGTTAGTGGAACTGTCCACCGCTCCTGCTACGTTCTCAGCTCGACAGGAGTAGATCCCATTTTCGGCAGAAGAAATATTGGCAATTTTCAATCTACTTCCTCCATCTAGAATTTTCACCCTCTCAGTATTGAATAACCTGAAAGCAAAACAGACGAACTGTGTTAAACCATTTGTACAAGTGTCATTGGAACACACAGCCACAAATCATTCCGCAAAAAAGACGCAGTTTTGCAATAGTTGGCTCATTTTCTCCCATTTTTTACAACTCTGTTTTTGCTATGTAAGCAAAATTTGAGACACTTCGCAAGCATTCACCAGGGTAAACACACAAAAACATCAATTCCAAATGCTATCATACAAAACTAATATTTACATTTCAATACCAGAAACAAAACAATTTTTATATTCATTCTGCAGTCTCTACTGCATGCCCATGACTGGTGTAATTCAGATCCACGTTTACGTATCAGGAACTCAAGGAAACTAGCTCAAGTGTAAGGTTAGACGATTTAATTAACTGGGAATTAAATGTCAGGATTTAAACATTACATTTCAATTTCTACAGCAGCCCAGGTTGAACAACGTGCCCAAAGTACTTCCAAACAAAAAGAGTTTCGTAAAATAATAATTCAGTTAAGACTCTCAAATTAGAGTAGGCAAATTTATTTTTGGCAATCCACTTTCATTATAGGATTAAAATGTTTTCTGTATCTGTTGTATTTGAAAATACAAGTGGAATGGGTTTTAAGGAAAGTAACATAATCAGAACCACAACATTGTTTACATTCATACGCCTCTGCCACAGAAGGAAGTTGTTCTTGAATAATGAGTTCATGAGTTCCTTGTCATCTGGTCCCAATCACTACCTATCGTCATAAAATTCTCATCTTGAAGATGAAAGGAAATTAATGGTTTCAATGAATTAAATTTCCCATTTCATTGACTGGTGTAAAAAAATATTAATGGCATGAAAAACAGTTTTTTTCCTTCCAAATACATATACCATCAATAAAGTACAGGTGCACTGGAAGACAACATTAGTTAAGCCACAAAAAAAACAAGCTATATAACACAAGATAAACGCTGATGAGGTTCCCAGGGCGGGTGACAGTCACTTTCAGGAGATAGATGGGTACTCTCCAACCCACAATGTGAGACCCATCACTCTGTGTTGAAGATAGGTGTATAACTGTTTATTATAGCCCAGGTGTGTCATACTGATGTCACAAGGAACAACCGGGTGATAAATATTCAAGAATATCACAAGAGAAAAGTTGACTGTCACTGGGATTAAAAAACCTTGTAGGAATATGTACCAATGGTACTGAAAATAGACAGTTGATAATTAAAGCTATAGATCTGGTACTTCCATTACACAAACACCAATAGCAAAAGGAAGAGGAAGAACAGCTTCTAATCATCATCTGGGCGATAGTGCATTACAACACACCAACAGCATGGATGTGTGCTCACACTATCGACCACTGGTTTGCTGGTCAAGAGTATTACGCCTGTTTCAAGCTATGGTGATATAGCAAACATATACCACTGTGGTATAAAACCCCATTCACTCACTCACTCACTCACTCACTCACTCACTCTCGAGTCAGGAACTATGTGTCCCTAGCATGTGCCTAACATCCATCAGTAACCTATCAGCAATAACTTCATCGCAGACACAACCGGCACCTCATGTCCACAAAGATTACACAGCAAAGACAACATTGTCAAAAGATGCGAGAGCAAAGTGAATCCAATTTTCTGGAAGACTGAGATTTAGGGTATGGTATTGTAAGTAGCCCATTTGTTTCTACTGTGAGATGCATAAAGTACACATGGAATCAATGTGTCCTGTGCCAGCCTCACGTCTGTACAGGTTAACTACTCCACATCTACATCGGGAGCTATGTGAACCGGCTCCGCGACATTCCTTTTCATCTCTCATAGACATCATACTTGGCTGTCATATAGGGGGCATACAGTTGATGATGTCATGCCGTTGGTGAAATACAGAACGTGATGTCATGCAGGGTGTTTCCATGTTCATACAGTGGATGTCATACAATATATAATGTCACAGTGGTTGTCATACAATATATAATGTCATACAGTGGATGTCATACAAAATATAATGCCTTACCGTGGATGTCATATAATATAAAATGTCATACAGTGGATGTCATACAAAACATAATGTCATACAGTGGATGTCATACAATATATGTCATACAGTGGATGTCATACAAAACAATGCCATACAGTGGATGTCATACAATATATAATGTCATACGGTGGATGTCATACAATATCATGTCACACAGTGGATGTCATACAATATATAATGTCATACAGTGGATGTCATACAATATTTTGTCACACAGTGGATGTCATACAATATATAACGTCATACAGTGGATGTCATACAATACATAATGTTTTGTGTTTGTTTCTTATTTAACACCGCACTCAGCATTCTTACAGCTCTATGACAGTGGTCTGTAAATAATCAAGTCTGGACTAGACAATCCAGTGATTGATATCATGAGCATCGATCCACGCAATTGGGATCAATGACATGCATCAACCAAGTCAACAAGCCTGACCACTCGATCCCGTTAGTCGCCTATTATGACAAACATAGTCGCCTTTTACGGCAAGCATGGGTTGCTGAAGACCTATTCTACCCCGGATCTTCACGGGTCCAATATATAATGTCATAGAGAGGATGTCATACAATACATGTCATACAGTCGATGTCATACAATATGTAAAGTCATACAGTGCACATGTAACGATAAGAATGAAAGATAGTTTTATGATTTCACAACAATATGAAAATTGAGTAATCATTACAGAATCGCTGTGCCCGATGTAGCATGCACTTCTGGTGCTGTTCTTGCAGCCACTGTGACTGCCTTTGTGGGACTAACACAAACAAATACGTCAAGATGGCCGCCTGGTTAGGTTGGAGCCGTCAGCCACACACAAATAATGGCCGTATCCCTGCTCACCCAGTTTACATGAGAACTTTTACATAGCAACTGTCGGCCTCTGGCAACTTCCACTTTCACACTTTTTCTCTCCCCACATTGCCCCAGTGTAAACTTTCCAAACTCGAATTTGTATCTGTTGTACATTTGGCAAAGAGGTCGGAACCTTTCTTATCAGTCTAGGAGTCCATTGGCATCAAACCTCTCGTAAAATCACCATACGGTTAGATTACATGCTTTGGTTATGTGGTGAGAGAACATTACAAGAATTTGCATACAATTATATAGTCTTTCTTCTGCAATAGATCCTATAAATACCCAATAATGATGACTAGTTACTGATTAATTGAACACAACAATCATCACAGTTGCGTGTATAACCTGACAGCTGCAGGATATGACTGGATCCAAGACAAGTCATGTTCCATCAAATTTCAAGAAACCATGAAACAACCCCACCTACGCTGCTTTTTTGATAGACAAACACAAGAGTAGTTCTATTAGTATGATACTCTACGTCCAAATTTATTTCTCTCTTTCCTGGACATATCATTCCAATCATGACAGCTATTTTGACCATTCCACATTTCCCTTGATCACAAAAACAAGTTTCGTGTCTAAAATGTTCTCCATCTTGCTGGATTTATTTACAAAAGCCTCCCTGAAGGTCATTACGAAGTATAATGGTTCGAGTGGAGTGTCACGTTGACCTGGCATTAAAGGGCTACAGTTTACTGACAATTATATATTGGATAACCATGACACGATGCAGACACAGGCCAAAATGTTTTGCCAAATAGTGACCTCATCCGTAGGATAATTCTGACACTTCCGCCACCCATTTAGGTCTACATTATAGTGAGCACGCTCACTGCCTCACTTCCTGTAGTCAAGAGACCTCGGCCATATGCAAAGTGTCACAAGCCCTCACTGACCCTCCGTCCATAGACCTCTCTACTGACAGCTTCCAAATCCAATTTGCATTTTTTTTCAAATAATTAGTCCATTGAAAAATAAAAGGAAAAACGTATTAATTACATATCCTAATATTGTTACTTATGGCATTTTTCCCTAAAAGTGTATGAGCCCTTTATCATTGCCTATATCAAATTAGAATATTTCTTCTAAATGATCTTAATAAAATGAAATCATCATATAAACAACTATGTCAACACCAGGTTACTCAAACATCTCACATAAACTAAACATTTATGTAAGTTTAATTTAAGCCAATTGCAACCATGGGGCCTTCGGGCTCAAATTTCACCAAAATGATTTGAAAATCTTTTTATGATTTTTTTTTTTTAACTCTCTAAATAAATGATGTTTTTATTCCCTACTACTTAGCCTCCGTCCCATCTACAATCTACCCTAATGACTCTACTTAGTACAATCTAGATGTCTCTGTAGAGATTACCACAGCACACTCAGGCCCGTTGCCTTATCTAGTCGTGGTGGTGATAGGCTAGACTTGCACAAGTCAATAAGGAAATGATTCTAAGTTTGAATCATGAAATAAATTATTAAATATAAACATTATATAAATAATAAGTTATCCTTTAAAAAGACTTGCATCCTTGTACTGTCCGCTTACCTAGACTTACCTATTATAATGATGAAATTAATATACAACCACTGACTTATCATTCAATGCTGCCTTGCAGCAAGGCTAGAGATAGGACTTCTCCATCACCTGCCCTGCAGCCAAGTCCTAGGAATCCCTTTTCCCAAAACGTCTCCGACAGAAGCTTTATGTTAAGAAAGTTTGATTTTTTTGAGTGGGTAAAGACTCTGGACTTCCACAGCCAGACAAAGTCATAATCATGACTGAAGGGAAAGAGAGTTTACCATTGTGGAGGACTTACAACAAGCCACACGCTCGCGACTTTTAAACCTTCGTCAATCTCCGAGCAGTGAAATACTCAGAATAGTCATGAACATAAAAGAAATAGGACAAATACCCCAAAGGGGGTTGCTCTTGGAAAAATTTAACTGCCACTTCCCAGTGCACAAGGGAGATAAATCCTTATCTTGTATAAACATTTTCATCAACAAAGCTGTGCATGTCTTCACCCAGTTGCCAATACTGATACTTCTATGTCCAGACACTATCACTGCTCTTGTATATACACAACTAGCCTGTCAA